TATGTGTGTGTGTGTGTGTGTGTGTGTGTGTGTGTTGGGTGTCTTAAATAGTTATTTATAATTATATATATATATTCAATTATATATAACTTAAAATAAAATTAATATTTGATATTTGGAAAGAAAGAATAAAAGTTAGATAAGAAGGTTGAACTAAATAGAATGCACAAAACCAGCCCAAACCAGAAGAAATCAAGGCTTGGAGAAGAGGGGTAGACACACAGTCTAACCCCAGTCAGGAACTGACAGGCAATTGCTAGCTGATAGAAAAAGGAGAGACAGTTATTTATTTATTTATTTATTTATTTATTTATTTATCGTGTAGCCCCTGGTAAGTTGATCATACTTCTGTGGTAAGACCACAAACTTGGGAATCAATTGGCTCCTGGATATTTTATTAAGGACACAAGTTGAGTGGCTAGGGAAGGAGGTTGAATTTTGGGAAAGTTGGCAGATTAATGCCCTAAGAGAAAACATTGGAGTAAACTCACTCTGAAGGAACTAATTAAGAGATAGTGACAGATTGGTAATGGGAGACAAGAAGTTGTGTTTATGAATGAACTTTGTGCATGACTTTTCATTTGTTTTAAATCACTTCCCATAAAATAAAGTAGTATTTTACACGTACACTTAAACAAACAAAAGCCTTAAAGGAACAGCAGAAAGCAAGACAATTCCTCAGTAGGATCACTAAGAGAGAGAAAGAGAGATGGGGGTCAAAAACTCTTGAAACATTGTTCCTAATTCTACAATTGTATTTATTTTAAGTCTTTATTGTGCATTGTTTTTCTGAGACTAATGAACTATGTTCAGCAGATTAAATGTGCGATATGCGTCCCACAGCAGCAGTAATGCCAAATAATGCCTGATGATGTTGTGAGATGTGATTTTGAAAACAAAAAAGTTCCAGAAAAAACAAGGAACTGGCATTCTTTTATGAATTCAAAATATACTGGGGTTTGCTCTAAAACTCTGGCAGGCTTCAAACTTCCGTAGAGTCTCCTCCTCCTGTCTAAAGAGGTCAATAATCTGATGTGCGAATGTTATGAGAAATCCTGTGCTTATCTTCCCTGCTTCTGTGTAGCACACTGTCACAGATGTTACTAGACAGGCTTTGGCACACACACATGGTGGGAGGTTCACACTCATTCTGTAAACACCCTTCTCTATTTTTCCTTCAGTATGTACAACAGGCACAAATGTGGTATCGCAGAGGTCCTTTTAAGGTGAGAGAAGGACTCCAAAGCTATTTCCCTCTAACACCGTGATGAGAATCCAGGAAATTCCAGAATGCCAACAAATGAAAGTATCAAGCCTATGAAGACATGCACTTCCCTGTTGGACTGATCCTGGGGTGCACAACTCTGGAAGTCTATCCAAATGTCCTTGAAACTAAGGACCACAACCAAATTTAGAAATTTCTGTTTGCAAACAAAATTAAAAAACTAGATCGACATGTAACAATCTCCCCAAATGTGTGAATGTAAACCAATGAGCAAATTAATAATAAAGGGTACAATACATTGAGGTGTCAGCTTGCACACATTTATTAGATTAAAATTTTAATTTTAAGCAGCTCTTGGATGAAAACCAAGCAGTACATACATCATTTCTCTAAAGCAACGAGAGAAAGGAATAATTTGAAATTACCCACAAATCACAGACCCTCCCAGAAATTAAGAATGGAAGAATTAACAGTCAGCAAGAGAGCATAAGCAAGGAAACAATGGCTGCAGAACATAAACATACTGTATGAAGAGACTCAACAGTAGACTCCATAGAGGGTGTTACCACAGATTGGTTTATAACCAGCTTGAGAGGTTCTAGCAGGCAGGAGGGTTGAATAGCAAAATCTGGGCCCGCATCTCTGGAAAGGGAAGCCAGAGACTCCGTAATACAGAGATTCACAACCACTGGGTCCACAACCCACTATGTAGCACCCCCTAGATCCACACTCCAGGGTCTGGAAGCTGCTGGGTCCAAAGGCCAGACACCCAGCATATGTCTCCTGGCAGGGACTGCAAGTTGCGAAGCTCCTGGGGTAGTAGCAGGCTGTCTGGCAGGGGCTGGACACCACACAGGACCTCTGGCAGATGGTGGGCTCAATGCAGGTCTCCTGACAGCCACTGTTGAGAGAGGAGCCCAGCTGGCAGGTGCTGGGAGAGCAGCTGGTAGTGGTGTAGACCAGGTTGCTGGGGTAGGGAGAGCCACAGGAGGAACCCGAGGAGGGCAGGCAGCGCCTAAGGGAGCTGCAGGAGGAGTTTGAAGAGCAACAGTCACAGGTCATGTTGAGAGGAGATGTGAGCTCAGCTGGATACAACTGAGAGGATTCTGAGTTTGATTGGCACCCCAGTGGAGAGTTGGGTTTATATACTCTCAGCAACAGGTGTGGGACCCAACTGGGTCATGCTTCTCATGTGTGTGCTCTGTCCTTTAAAAATGTGCAATTCACTAATTTCTCTATAATTGTAGTTGCATTTGAATACTTTTCTGTAGAGTACATTTATGGCTGTTGTAATTTCACTGTGACAAAGGACATCAAGCTACTCCTATACCAAAAATGCTATGATTATTTCACAATAAAAATTATTTCATCATGTCCCAGAAAATCCTTTTTCCTCCTGACATAGTTTTTGTGTGTTTTGTCATAGGATGCTATGAGGAAAACTTTTTTCTTTTCAAGTATGGGATGAGAGTAACGTGTCTTTTATTTTGTTAGTGACTTGAAAACATCACTTCAGGTTTTCTGTGGGACGCACTGACGTTTAATACTATTGTCACCATCCTCTCTCATTTTTCAAACTATTATCTGTGATTTACTCAACATTACCCAGCAAAAGGATAAAAAGGGAAAACTGGATAACAATAAACCTTGGAGAGAGAGAGGAAGACTGAATGAATGACTGGAGGTGTGGTAGCAAGGGACAAAACTGAGCCAGCCTTGCAAATGTTGGTTTTCAACTGTTTGAATGGTGTTGATCTTGTCAATGCTGAAAACATTCCATGATGGAATAAATTTCTGATCCAGCTCACCTGGCTTGTAGCTTGATGTAGCCCTGGTGTGACCATGGAGATTTCACTTCTACAACCATAAGACACAAGAGGTTTAGCAGACTGTGGACCTTTCTGCTGTGGTTTCTACAGAAACTGCTTCTCATGGACTCCTGCCAAGCAGCAAAGGAGCCCAGGAAAGACAAATGGATTCTCTGGAGACTCCAACTGCCAGCTTTAACACATGGTACCCCAGTGACCTTAATCAACAACCTGAGCTTGTATAGATCTTGAGGAAATTGTGTCCTACTAAGCCCTCTTAAGGAAGAATGTAGGGAAGAGGAAATGCATAAATATGAACATATGAAATACTGCTTAAACTGCTTTGACTGTAAAACTTATTATTTATGGATGTCAGAGATTTCAGATGGATGATAATCTTGGACATATCTAATATGGCTGAAAAAACATTTCAGTTGGTTACTTAGTTAAAGATCTATGAATTTTTATTTGGAGACTACGTACCCTCTATATAAGTAATGTCTGCTAAACAAATCTTTAGCTCCTAAAGATTTTCTGAATAGTGAAAATGAAATAAGAATATATGAAGCATAAGCGATGCTCACTGGATATCAGTAGAAAAAAGATGTATTCATGTCTATTTGATAAATAAAATTTTATTTGTCTTAAATCATCTTAACTAACATCAAATGTTATGTTTTAGACACATCTGTGAGATCTGTAGCACCTTTATGTGCTAGCAGATAACATGAAATTCCATTAGGAAAAGGAAGTATTTATAACTGTGAAATAATATCAGGTTTATAACAAATTTTCCAATTTTATATGTAATTAATTCCACCAACTTACAAATGCACACACATGTATTCCCACATGCATAAAATATGCATAGACACATGAACACATTTAATAAAATGAAATTCCTGAGCTGCCTTGTTTTATAATAAATCATAAGGTCACATCCTCATTTGGTAGGGTTTCTGCAGCATAGCTTCAGAGGAAGGGAGACTAAAGCCTCTCAATAGACCTTATTCCATAAGCATCCTACAAAATCTCAAAAAGATCACATTCGAGGTCTACCTGGCAATGGACCATAAGCAGTTATCTGAAGAAGTGCACACTTGGACAGAGTGTGGGATCTCCATGCTCCCTCTCTTAGACCTCAGTGCCCATCTCTTTAACTGGATCCTTTGGAATATCCCTCATAGTTAACAAATATAAGGCGGTGTCTCTGTCAGTTCTCTAAGCTGCTCAAGCAAAGTAATCAGAACTGAGGAGGGGTCTAGAGAAGCCTAATAGTAAGCACCTGGGTCTGTGATTGGCACCTAACCCTAGGGAAGCTGTCTTGCCGGCCTGGGGTGAGGGATGAACACCATCTCCATGTAGCATCAGAAGGAAACTAGATTAGTGACTGCTGAGATGAGCCTTTATTTGGTGGGTACAAGAAACCCTCCCATTGTTGTGATGTGGGAAAGGAAGAAAAACAACCACAAAAAAAAAATAAATAAAAGCCTCAGCTTTTGTGAGACACACAGAACTGAGCAGTTCTCTTCAGGTGAGTGTCCTTCACAAGCAGAAGTGTCAGCCAAGGAAGTGTTAGAAGCACATACCTTATTCTCCAACTCCACGTCAGTCAGACCCAGCTCCAAAGTCTTTTTTATTTTAAGTTTTATTTTTAAAAAAATAATGCAATATAATTTGATCATATTATTGTGCTGTCTCTTTCCAACTCCTCCCAGCCCCTCTCCACTTCCCTAGCCATCCAAACTCATGTCAGTCCCCAAACAAAAGTTCAAAGCAGACAATTTAAAAACAGAGAAAAAAAAACAGAAAGGAAGAAAGAAGAAAAGAAAGAGAATAGGAACAAAAACAGAAAGAAGCCAAAGGACACACACACACACACACACACACACCACACACACACACCCACACACACACACCACACACACACACACCACACACATACACACA